GAGAGAGAGAGAGAGAGAGAGAGAGAGAGAGAGAGAGAGAGAGAGCAAGCAAAAAATCTCAACTGTGAGATCTGCTTCAAAAAAAAAAAGTTTCCCTCTAGCTATTTCATTGTCTTGCTACAATGTCTTTGAGAAAAGCAACAGCCAGTAATCCAATAACAGCATTGATTAGGCCACAATGATTCAATTCAAGCGCATGGCCTTGTGCAAGGAGCTTGCTCCAGCCCTTCTCGTCACCTTGCCGGGGCAGAAGCCCTCTCCACGCCGTTCTCCCCATTCATTCCTTTATGGGAAATGCGGAGCAAAAGGAGTGAAAGATGGCAATTATCTAATTGGACTATTAACAAACAGTCCTCTGAGTGCGGCGGTCTGGCGTGGCTCCTGGGCGGGGGAAGGGCCGTGTTCCCGGCCCTCATTCACAAAGAGTGCAGGGGCCGCGGAGGAAAGGGGGTTTTTAAAAGGGAGTAGAGGGGTGGGGGGGGGGGAGAGGCGAGGAGAGGTGGGAGGTTTGGCTGAGAATTTTTCCACACAATTCCAAGAATGGGGCGGAGGCGGGCGGGGGAGGGGCGGGGGTCTGGGCGAGAGGGTGGGAGGCACAGAGTGAGTGGGGAGGACAGCGAGTGTGTGTGGCGGCCTCCGAGGGGCTCTGCGCCCGCCCCACCGTCCGGCTGTCACCTCCCGGCCACCACCGCGGTCCTTCGAGATTGTTGGACGTAGAGGGGGTGGGCCGAGCCGGGTAACCGCACTCCTCCCAAGCCACCTTCGGTCGGACCCTTAGGAGTAACCGCTTTTGGTTGGTTTCCAGGGACCCGCACCCAGGCAGACCTCGGGCTTTGACTTTATAAGATTGGGGATACTTGGGGTGATTGTGTTGAGTGATGTTCACTGAGCGGGGAGTATCCCGGGGACAGATTGGGAGCCCAAAGGTCTCTGCGGGAGCTGTCCTCAGGCCGGACGCCTCCGTGAGACCTGGCGGCAAGTGCCCAGAACGTCCACCCGACAGGAACGCAAGGAAGTTGAAAGAAGAAAAGGGTCTCTCCTTGGCGAGCCAGCCCGCCGTCTTGGCCCCAACGACTACGCCTGTGAAGGAGGATTCCTGGGGCTTCGGATGGGTGCCCTTGCTGCGATCCGTCTGGACTACTGCTCCGGGTGCAGGTCCGGAATTCCAGCCCAAACACACACACACACACACACACACACACACACACACACACACACACCAGGCGGTGGGAAGAACGGAATAGCCAGCATGAGGTGTCCAGGCTCCTGCTTAGGGGCAAGTTGGAGTCCTCACTCTGACTTTTAAAACCTTGAGCATCACTGAGACCCCCAAAACAACCCAGATAGAACTGGGCCACCTTAGATGGTTCCAGGCCCCTAGGCCTTAGGACTCCGTAGCCTCCTGGTTACCCGGAGGACATCTACGACCCGCGAAGTCAAAGGCCTGGGAGGAACTCTTTTAAAAAATAAAAGTGGCCAGCTCGCCATTTCTTTCAGATTTCTGGGGAGATGGCCCTGCCTCTTCACTTGAACCCGGGAGCAGTTGTTTGTTTGTTTGTTTGTTTGCTTGGAACACTCGAACATTGGTTGTCTAATCACTTTTAATATTTGTAACCTCTTTCTTGGGAAGGTAGCAACATCCCAGGTTAGGGCTAAATGAGTAGAGGACTTGTCCAAACCTCAGGTTAGTGAACACAAATTTTTTTGAACTCCTCTCTGACTACGCTCTCTGACTACGCTCGGAAGTATCCCAGGTCATCTCGGGGCTCTGCCTTAGCTCCTAGCTACTCCCTGCTTTGAGTTTCCCGCGATGCAGACTGCTCAAAGGGACACAAGGCTATGCCCTTAATGTTAATACTAAACATTTTGAGTATTTGACATTTGTTTTCATTTCATGCCCAAATAACACGAGATGGAAGCAGAAACATTAAGTCTTGCTTCCGGCCATGCTATTTATTACTAGCCAGGAGCATTTCTTAGAAGCCGACCTGATTTGGGGTGAACAAAATCCAGTTCTCTGTGCCTCAACGTTGTCTGATGACTGTCTGGGATCAAAGTTTAGGAATTCACATTTCTACTGGCTAGGGGAGTGGTGAATCTTTTAACAACTTTATTGGGAAAATTGTACCTTTTAAAGTTGGGGAATGTTAGTTCTGAGGGCAGAGACACACCACCATCATCGATGCTTATAGAATCTACAGATGCTTGCTTGAGGAAGGAAGGCAGGACTATCTATCTGGCTTGATGATGTAGAGATTTATCAAGTTCTGTCAAAAGCAAGATAGCACTCAGGAGGTCTACAGCACACAAGCAGGCTGTCTTCAACATGATCTAGAACAAACCCATCAGCTATGTGAACTCACTGGCTATAATCATAGCTCCATTTTGGAAATACTAATGATACTGTTGCCAGATGCCCGTCTAGGCTCCAGGCACTTGAAACAACAAAATTAAATAAAAGTCAGTCATAACTACCAACTACACTTGCTTTTTGTTGTGTATAGTGTTCTGTGTCTCCCTCCCCCTCCCCTCTCCTCTTTCTCCCCTTTCCTCTCTACCACCTCCTCCCTCCCTCTCTCTCTCTCTCTCTCTCTCTCTCTCTCTCTCTCTCTCTCTCTCTGTTTTAAAATTCTGTGGGCATCCATCCAGAAAAACCATGACAGGTTTCCCAGAGGACACAGTGGAGGATGGAAGCCCCGGATGGAAATTTCAGAAAAGCAGCTGCTGCTCCCAGCCAAACGAAAGCTGTGTGTCCATCGGCAAAAGAAAGTGGAGGGGGGACCCGCTCAATTATTTAGATAATCTGAGACAGGCCTGTGCTCTGCAGCACACATGAGGACATGGGGCTGCTCCAGGTGAAAGTGTTTTACTCCCCTACTTACATTCTCCTCTCTCCCAGTGCCCTTCCTGCCCCCACATGTCTGTCTGCAGGTGCAGAGAGACCCAGAATAGAACTGTAGAGCTGGAAGGACTTTTAGAGATCATCCACTCCAGAACCTTCATTTGACTTGACAGATGAGGAAAATGAGCCGGGAAAGACAAAGCAACTTATTAAGGATTAGACAACTAGTTAGTGGGGGCCTCGGGGCTGCAGTCCTGGTCCCTCGCTCAAAGCTGGATTCTCATCTCTGCCCAAGCTTCCTAGAGTTGGCAAGAGAATGCACTCTTTGGGACAGGGTGAGATGATGCTACAGAAATGAATCAAACGGTGACCTGAGCCATGGGGATTTCACAGTCTATGTCTCTGCCTGTGTTCTCTCACTGGGGCATTGGAAAGCAGCGTGAAGATGATGCTAAGCACAGCCCTCCAGTATCCCTCCCTTTTTATTTCCTGAAGAAATAGGAGGTAAAAGTTGCTGGGGGGGAAAGATCCAAGAACCTCTGAGACTATGAGGGAGACAACATGGCTTACTGTATGACATATCTTTCGAAAAGAATTGCATCAGAGAAGATGAGGCAAGCAGAAAGGAAGTCTTTTCTGTGAGTAGGGTACTCAATACAGTTAATTAACAACCAGGATACTGGTATTTATACAAACTTTCATCTGCAAAGTTGCCAGCGGTGGAGAGCTCCATCTTGTCTAGTTCTAATGCCCCATCCTGCAGGAAGTCGTTGAGGTAATGGAAAAATAAATGGACCACAAGCTTCTATTGAACATCTAAAATGGAGAATGTAGCTGTCCATCCATGTATTTCTGTCCTGTTTCCTCTTAAGGACCAGCCAGTGTGCAGAAAGCCAAATGCTGGATTACTCTATTTACATGTGAAGCAATTGGTTCCATTAGATTCCACTTCTTAGCCTTGCATGTTGTATCAAGGAGTTAAGTTTTGTCAGTGAATTAACAGTTTAAATATGAAGCATTCAATTTTAAAGAAATCTTAGAGTGATATTGCTCA